CCACGGGGGTGGCGCGAGGGTGCCCCGGGGGTCTCTTGGGGTTCTCCCGGGGGTGTCCTAGGGGTCTCCCGGGGGTGCACCGGGGTTGCCCCGGAAGTTGGCCGAGGGTGCCCCGGGGGTGTCCAGGGGGTGGTGTGCCGGGGGTCTCCTGGGGGTGTCCCGGGGGCCTCCCGGGGGTGCCTCGGGGGTGTCGAGGGAGTGCCCCGGGGGTTCCCCGAGAGTGTCCCGGGAGTGTCCCGATGGTCTCTCGGGGGTCTCTCAGGGATGGGTGTGTCCTGCGGCTCAAGGGGTGCCCCGGGCGTGCCCACGAGGTGCCCTGCGGGTGTCCCGCGGGTCACCCAGGGGTCTCCCGTGGCCCCGGGGGAGCCCCAGAGGTGCCCTAGTGGTGCTCCAGGGGCCATGGGGTCTCCCGGGGTGCTCCCAGGGGTCTCCCGGTGGTGTACTGGGGTTGCCCCGGGGGTTCACTGAGGATGCCCCGGGGGTGTCTCGGCGGTATCCCGGGCCAGGCGTGTCCCAGGGGTGTACCAGGGGTGCCCCGGCGGTGTCCCGGGGGTGACCCGGGGTTCTCCGAGGGGTCTCCGAGGGTGCACCGGGGGGTACCTCGGGGTTTCCCCGGGGGTGCCCCAGGGGTTCCCTGGGGCTACCCCGGTGGTGCCCCAGGGGCTCCCCGGCGGGGCCCCGGGGATTCCCAGGGGCGTCCCGGGGGCGCCCCGTGGGTGTCCCCGGGGTCTCTTTGGGTTGCACCGGGGTTGCCCCCGGGGTGCCCCGGGGGGGATCCGGGGGTGTCCCGGGGGTGCCCCGGGCGTCTCCCCGGGGTCTCCTGAGGTTCTCCCGGGCATCTCCCGTAGGTCTCCTAGGGGTGCACCGGGGTTGCCCTGGGGGTTCCCTGGTGCCTAGGGGGAGCCCCAGGGGTGTCCTGGGTGTTTCCCGGGGGTGCCCTGGGGTCGCCCCGGGGGTTTCCCGGGGTTGCCCCAGGGGTGTCCCAGAGGTGCCCCGGGGTTGTCGCGAGGGTGCCCGGGGGGTGCCCCGGTGGAGCCTTGGGCGTGCCCCGGGGTGCCCTGGGGGTCACGTGGGTCTCCCGGGGCCCCCGGGGGTGCGCTTAGGGTGTCCCCGGGGTGTCCCTGGGGTCTCCCTGGGGTGTTACCTTGCGGGTGTCCTGGGGGTGCCCCAGGGGTTCCTCGAGGGTGCCCCGGGGGTGTCCCTGGAGTACCCCGGGGGTTCCTTGGGGGTGCCCCGGGTGTTCCCCGGGAGTGCCCCCGGCTTGTTGCAGGGGTGTCCCGAGGGTGTCCCGGAGGTGTTTGGGGGGTGCCCCGGGGTTGCCCCAGGGGTGTCCCGCGGGTGTCCCGGGGGTGCCCCAGTCGTGCCCCGGGAGTGTTGGGGTTACCCCGGGGGTTTCCCGGGGGTTTTCTGGGGGTCTCCCCGGGGTTTCCGGGCGTCTCCTGGGGGTCTCCGGGGGGTCTCCCAGGGGTGCACCGGGGGTGCCCTGGGGGAGCCCCGGGGGTATCTCGATGGTGCCCCGGGTTTCCCCCGGGGGTGCTTCGGGGGTCTCCTGGGGGTGTCCCGGGGTTCTCCTAGTGGTGTCCCGTGGTTCTCTCGGGGGTGTCCTGGGTGTGCCCCGGGGTGTCCCGGGGGTGTTCCTAGGGTGTCCCGGGGGTATAGTTTGGGCAAATTGAGTATTCACCAGGCTTTTCGCGTTTGATAGTTTGGGCACTTTTCAAGTTCGTTGGAGAAGCTTCATTGTGCACCGAATGCTTTCTTATGTTATTTGTACTGTTGTTTGATTTTTTTTTAATTTCTCATTATTCTCATAATTATATATTCTGTTCGTTTCCTTGTATTACTATCCTATTGTCGTTTAGGTGAAACCACGTGACATGTTTTTAACCTATATATGGACTGTAGGAGCATATGTTTCAACAGTTTCTGCTATGTTAGGCTGCGATTATTAAGAAGGAAGCAGTGCGTACATTTTAAAAGTGGGATGGATAAAAGACTAATTGGGTTAATTTAGTAGATTTGGGAACTTGTTTGGAGACATTTTAAATATGACTGTTCAACTTATTCGAAAATTGACGATGACCAATGGCGTAGACCAAAAACCGACAGAGGCGGTGGTCGACACCTGCGGTCGGTGAAACCGAACTGTGTGACATTGTTCAATCGGCCTCTGGTTTTGGATTTTCCAATTCGGTCGCTGATCGAAAACCGACATTCACCTCCTCAGGACAATATATTCTCATCCCTTCCGTTTCTTTCCCAGCCCTCGTTCTATCTCTTCTCTCTTAAATTTATTTTCTCATCTTTTTGAAAACCTCCAAGTTTAAGTGACAACCCAGCCCAATAATCATTCTTATATTTTCCCAGGCCCAAGTCTAATTTTTAGCCAAAGCCCAAATCATACAAAACTAACCGTAATAGATCACCCTTTGGTCTATATATATAGCATGTGGTGGGGGTTGCGGGGGCTTTGGATTATTAGCATTAAAGGCTACTTCAATATTAATTTATAAATAAAGATTATTATTTTAATTTCAAAATATTAATTCAACAAGTGTAATAAAATTAATAATTAATTAAAAAAATTTGTGACAATTAATAAAATTGGATTATGATAAATACGACATCACGTCATATCATTCAATTTATATATTTTATATGTAATAATTATTAAAAACTCGTGTGTATATATATATATATATATATATATATATATGATAATTTGAGTGATGTTCTCTAAGATCTTGAGGAAATGTCAAACCGTCCACTTTTGTTAGCATATCAAAAGTAAGTGTAAACGGACATAGAAGGACCACACGATTATTCCTACTAATAGATGGTAAGAAAGATGTATTATTTTTGTATTGCTTTTTCTTTTCCAAACTCTTTTGCTCAGACCTCCAATGGGCTAGGAAGCACTACTTATTTGATCTTTACATGCCTATGTATTTTGGATAGTTTCTTTGGAGGGGGGGAAAAAGTGCATATTTTGGACATTTAACAAAAAGGTTGACTTGACATATATTGAATATTTCCTAAAAAAGTGAAAAATTTTAAGTGATGCAATCACCGAAAAGATAGCTTATGAATGTGTTTGGTGTTTCAATTTGGTCAATGTCGATTTGGTCAATAATTACTATTTAGAACATGTCCACGAATTGCACTAAATCTTTTCACACTCTACTTCTGTAATATATAGTTGAGAAATAATCAATTGCGCTAAACAGTTTGGTGTTTCAATTTGGTCATTGTCATTTGTCAATTCGGAACGTGTTTCGTGAATGGAACTAAATCGGTAATTTGAATCGACTTCTTATCGTCTAATCAGGGCATAGTGGTAGTATAATTAAATAGTGTCCGAATATGTGGGAATGTGATGAAAAAATTAACCGACCTGTAAAAAAATCACAAAATAATTTTTTACGACAAAGTTCATTTGATTACTTTAGGGCTTGTTTGGTAAACTAGTTCAAGTAGTTTGACTCAAATAGTTGGTTTAAATCAGTGTTCGGCAGAATTGTTTAAGTTTTAATTTAAATCATTTATTTGATATTTTAAACCCAAAAAACCTAATAAATCTAAGGCTTCGTTCACTTTACGGATTCGAGTTTTTAATTCGAGTTGAGATGTGACATTTTGTGAGAACTTTACACTGTAGCATTAAAAGTTAGATGTGACATTTTCTGAGAGTTTTTTACTGTAAAAATCTAGAACTGAAAACTCAAATCGGTGAAATGAACGAGACCTAAGTTTACACCCCGTCTTATTTTCAGGTAGTTTGAAACAAAACTTAAACTATTTATTTTTTCAAATTTTCTATTTAATATATATATAACCACATTTTGAACATGTTTACCAAATGGACCATTCCTTTCTAAATTTTTAAGTAATTAATTATGATTAACATTTTATCACTTAGATAGTAACTAGAAACATTTTTAAAATAGGACTTTCTCTGATAGGTTTTTTCTACTGGTAGTAAAAGTTTCTAATTATTAGATCTGATAAAAATCACATCAGATTAAACAAGCATACAAAACAACCAGTTTCTAATATTAAGCTGACGGTTGAAAAATTTTCTGGTCCTACCAGAGAAACTCCCTTTTAGAATAAAAATCATGAAATTGGATCAATAGACGTCCTACAGTAAATTCAGGAACATCATAAAAAATCTTATGGAGATAATATCATGAAGAATCATTAGGTTGTCTTTACGGTGGAGCAAGCTATTTTGTTCCACCGATATAACAAGTATTTTTACTGTTAGATTAATTTTTTAACTATCATATCTGCAACGGAGGCGATTCTGTGTGACACGCTGTAAATTTTTAATACGGATCTATACAGATCTTACTATTAAAAAATTAAGCCGACGATTGAAAACAATTTCCTCACTAATAGAGTAAAATAACTTCCTCCATCATAAAAATTTCCGGAATCATTATTGTGCAAATTCAATTATTTGCTTCCCCACTTCAACTCCCAGCTTCAATGGTCAACCTTTATAATGTCGGCTTTAATCAAAACATGTCACGTTAATCATTTCCTCTGATTGATATATATATATATATATATATATATATATCTAAAAAGGAGACTTTCGAGTCAGTAGGGTATATATTTTATCATTAGATACGATTAAAACTCTATTAAAGTGAAAAAATAAACATATCACAGTTTTTGATATAAATTTAACGGGTAGATAATTCATTTGTTTTGATCCTACCAGCGGGGGTGGGGTAGAGGATATCCACAGACCTGGACAGAAGACCAGAAATAATTTTCTCCTTTTCAGATTTGGGACTAAAATTAGAGGCTTGGCGCCACACACATTACAGCCAGTACTAGTACATCTAGAACTGGGCCATCTTCCACACAACTCAACATCATAATATATTTTAATATCATTATTATGTGTACACATCTTCAACGCCGTTATATATTATCATATATATATATAGGAGCTTTTGCATGCTTTGTCAAGCCATATATATATATGTGTGTATATATTTATATAAATATTTACTTTCTCCTTTCTTTTTGTTTATGTTTTTTTACTGTACTATAATCGAACATGGGAAAGACTTCATGCTGCGGCAAACAAGGGCTGAAGAAAGGTTCATGGACCGAAGAAGAAGACCAGAAGCTCTTCTCTTACGTTCGACAACACGGCGAAGGAGGCTGGCGTTCCTTGCCCCAGAAAGCTGGTCCATATTATAATTCAATCATATTATTTTCCCACTTGAATATACTTTAGTGCGTATAATAATAATGATAATATCACATTTTTATTCTATTTAGGACGGTTTGTAGTATTGTATGTTCGGGATAAAACTTAGCTTATAGAGATAGGGGTCACTTCTGAAGTTTCAGATTAATCAAAGTATGCTCAATAATTTGAGTTGGGAGCTTGTTTAGATGGGACCTAAAAATATATATATATATATAATGTCCTTGAGGATTTTATTTTTTCTATTATTATTACTAAATTTTAGTATCTGCCATGGGAGCTTGGGGAGAGAGATGGAGTGTTCTTTTTTTTTTTTAACAAATACTCATTTTTTCCTCGTACATTAATTCATTTTTTCCCGTGGTATTAATCATATTGATTCGGAAAGTAGTCTTTTTTTTAGACGAGAGAAAATAACTGATATCAGATCTTATTAGTACATTCCAATTAGGTCACGGCAACCAACTAGGTCCAGAAAGTAGTTGAAGAATTAACAATTGTAGAATTTTTATCCGTCTTATGTTGCAGAATTCATGGTTCAGAAAGTAGTGGAAGAATTATTTATGTTTATGAATATTACTTTTTTTAGGGCTTTTGAGGTGTGGGAAGAGCTGCAGATTGAGATGGGCGAATTACCTGAGGCCGGGCATTAGGAGAGGAGAATTCAGTCCGGAGGAAGAGCAGACTATTATTCGACTTCATGCTGTTCTGGGAAACAGGTGACTGTAAGACATTAATAATTTGGTTTTTCCATTTTCAGCCATTCTTCCTCTCCTTTGCCAGTGGACTTCATTTATTTTAGAGGATTTATTGGTAGGTAATAACAAAAATAATAGAAAATAATGCATTGATGTTAGATTTTTATATGATTTTTAGTCAAATGTTTCTCTAATGAAATTGTATATTATATATATATATATAGAAGCGTGTATTGCACGTATTTCAAACATTATATTTTAAAATATGAGAAAAATCAAACAGTAGTAATATTTTGAGTCGTGGACTTGGTGCAGGATTGATGTCAATCTAGTCAGGGTACATGTTCACATACTTTGATCATACTGGTTATCTACTCTCTTTCAATTTATTTAAAAAACAAAACACCAAAAAAAAAATCATAAATAAAATGAAAATTTAACAGAATTTAGTGAAAAAATAAAAGTTCAAGAATTGTGCATTAACAATAACTTAACAAATTATTCTCATTGAAATAATTACTTTATACTCATGAAATCATCTCCTTTTTGAAAGTTCTATATACAATACTTCTGATACTATTGAAAAATCAACTGGTCATTAAAGTATTGTTTCTGAAACCATCATATTCTCATTATTAAGCTCCAATTATTGTCCATCCAATTTCATTTAACCATTCAGAAAAGTAGGAATCCATCATGTGACTAAAGCATTAGTAACAATCATAAAGTACTGTATAGCAAATAATATATGTGTATATATGTATGTATATAAAGTAATTCACTAGTTTCTTTTCTTCCCTCTACTATAGGTGGTCAACCATAGCCAGACACTTGTATAAGCGAACAGACAACGAAATCAAGAATTACTGGAACACAAAGCTGAGAAGACGCGTGGCAGAGATAAATCTTGCTAGTTCTAGTACAACTTGTACCCCCACAACTACCGCACATTTGTCTACGAACCCTGACCACAACATCAACCTCTCTGATCATCAACATGAATCCCAGAAACCAACAGATCCTAATGAGGAGAGAGAAAGTGGTTCTTCTGAAGATGACAACATTTTCAGTGATCCTGGTAACGTTATTTCTGGCACAAGTAGTACTAGTACTACTACAAGTACTCAAAATAATAACAAAATTGCATTGTCAACTTCAGCTTCTCATCTACTTAACAACATAGCCAAGCCTAGTTCACATGATGGTCCCACCAGTACTAGTAATGCAAAGACTACTTCTAGTACTAGCACAACTATTTCTCATGATCTTGATCAAGAGACAAGGTCTTCTTCATCTTCCTCTTCTTCCTCGGCCCGGATTCTCAACAAAATTGCTTCGAAACTTACTCTACTAAACCTTCCCCGTGTGGTCGTCGACGGTGCTTCCATCAAGTCTCCTGTCAATGGCACTAGGAGGGGCGGGAGTGTCGGCGAATTTAGCTTGTGTGGCGGATGCAATTCGGGTTCCCCCGCCTCCTCTACACCAAGCAACGTTGATCCTTTTGATCAGGATGTTTCACCAGGGCCAGTATTGTCACAACACACTGGATTTTCAGCATTTAGTGGGGGTCAGTTAATGTGCCAACAAGGCATGGAAGTACTTAACCCCATGGAGGTGTTTATTTCCGACGATAATGTTAAAATTTATGATGATGATCTTGAGAAAATGTTGGTCACAAGCTTTCCCAATGCCACTTATTTATTTGACCAACAAATAGGATCTGTGGATAACACTACTACTAAGGTTAGTTTCACCGAGTAATTGTGATATATGATCACCAGTTGTGAAACTTGACATTTTTTTTTTTTTTTGTATTATTATGTTTCCGCGTGACGGTGGCTTATCCCAAATTATTGAGAATAATATTTGAGGTCTATAGAAGTCTATAAAGTTCTGTAATGTAATGTTGAGTAAGTGACTCAAATTAATTTTGAAAAAGTAACTATTTTGTGTTTTTAGTTAAGTTACTGTTTTCAGTTTTTGAGTAAGAGTTATTTTATGATTTATTATGAGTCTATAAATAAGTATTTTGTGTAAGATTTTATATGTGTGCTCAGAGAAAAATATAGGGACAGAGTGCCTCCTTTTGAGAAAGAGAGAGAGAAAAGTGAGGAGAGAGATAGACAAGAGTACTGTAAGGGGTTTTAGGTAGAGAGAGAAAGTAAGAAAGTTTGTTGAGTGTGTAATTTTGAAACCATTAGTGAATTTTCTCCCTCTTCTGTGAACGTAGAAAATTTTTTCAAACTACCTAAATTTTTATCTTTTCTATTTTCTTGTTATTTTTGTTTCAATTTATTTTTTTTTTCTTCGTGGATGTAAGGGTGTGTTTTTTCCCCAACATGTAATAAAGATTACAAAACCCCCTTTTGATAAGATGTAACGTCTTTAATTTGATAATAAAAAAATTATCAACGTCCTTATTGTTATTCATATAAGTATTCTTTTAGAACGCTAGTATTTGTTTCAAGGAAATATTTATGTGATGGTTATATTATCAACCATTTGTTGCAATCAAATAATCTATATATATATATATATATATAGGCAAAGTTTTAACTTTTTTCATATTTTTGTGAAACATCATTTAGACGTATGCGTTATATTCTGTTGGTTTAAGGGCAATACTCAATATTATAAGTGTTGTATTATATTTTACGAATATTACACTTAAATAAACCGAGTGTTGTACACATATAAGTGTATAATGTTATATGGAAATACAAGAACAGTTATATTTGCCAGACTATTTGGGCGCTGGATTTAAGATATTTTTATATAGATATATGTATTTGTGTGTATATATATATATATATATTATATTCTGTGGACATAGTGATGATATGTGTGTCAGAAATTTTTACAAATATGGTCAGGCTCCAATTTTTCCATGACGGAACGGAAATGTTGAATTGCTTTTATTTGTGGGGCTACAAAGACTTTCGGTTTTGGGTATTGCTGGCAAAATAGGGACGTATGTATGGGCAATATCTCATCTATTTATTTCGCATAATCGACGAAACATGATCAGTCTAAATCCCTGGTCTATATAATGAAGAAGATACATACATATATACATACTATATATGTTTAAGCCGATCTGTTGAGATAATGTTGGTCAATATATGGTATATATCCTATGAAATTTCCTTTTCGATTTTGATTTCAAATAAGATCTTTTTTTCCCAGGATCAGGATTTCAAATAGAACTTTGAATACTTAGATCATATTTTGCCTCGGGATTAATTATTGCCTTTTGCGCATATTCTTCAAGCATTTTTTTTTTCTTTATATCTCTTCCCAAATCCAAAAGGTCCTTGCTGCTTAATTTGACCCTATTAGGATTTTTAGTTGGCAAATGTTCAAGAAAAAATTCAACAGTTCTGATTACATATTGTGCACGGAAAAGTGTCAGACATATTTAAATTTCAAAAGAAGATTCTATCAGATAAATTTCAAAAATATGCATTAGCTAAAATTATTAGGAGAGTATATATTTTATCTGGTAGAGCAATAAAATAAAAAGAAGATAATTACTCGTTTAATTAGAGATAAATTCGAATTCTACTTGAATTTACTATCCGACTTTGAGAATGAGTATATATGTATTGCTCTATACGAGTCTCAAATCAAATAAACTGTTGGCTTTCTGGGGCATTTACTTGAGAGGTCCACACTTAACGTTCTTCAGAAGAATAATTTACAGCCTTAGTGTTGAAGGAATTTATACCAATTATCATTCTTCGTGAGAAGAAGTAATTGTCTACGGGAGAGAATGGTTTGTGATTTAAAGGAAGTTTAAGTTAGCAGACATTGAAGACGAGTAGTGCTCGTTAAATAAGATTATCAAATTGATTCTACACGGCGGTGAAAAAATCAAAGAGATGTCTTTATTTGTATACGTCAGTTTTTTATTTGTATGTCTAAAATTTAATAGATTGTTCAATATCTAGACATGACCTCATGAATATAAGTTTATACCGAACCACGTAAAAATTGCATGTCATTTTTTAATTTACGCTTTCAGTAATTTAATTAATTTGATATTAATTTTTTTAAGTTAATTTGATATTCAGTAAATTGCCAAAAACATATCTTTTAGACCCTGTTATAGACTTGAGTCATGGTAGGATTTATTTGATGGCTCGATTGTCGTGGATATTAGTGGCGAGGTAAGGAAGGGTTCTTAAAGGGAGAAGCAACAAGTATCAAGATCAATTAAAACGTTTGTTATTAATCATTAAAAACTTGTAAAAGTAAATGCTTATTTTAAAATAACTTAAAAATAAAAATAGTGTTATCAGTAAATGAAAAAGTTAACATATCAACAAATAGAAATTAAATGCTAATATTCGACAGGTACGTATAATATATTATATATATGTATGTATGTTATACTTTTGCACCAAGTAAAGCGTACGTTAAATTTTGTGTCAAAATAAGCACTACATTTTTGAATAATTTTCCTATTTAATCTCTAAAATTTTGAGATTGATATGTACTAATTTGATTAAGTATTATATTAATTTCTTAAAATTTTTCTATTCTGATATATGTGATTGAGAAAAATACATGGTTTGTCATGGTTTTATGGAGGCTTATAATTTATGTCATTCTAAATAATTAGGTGTTAGTATGGCCTTTTTGTTTTCTCTTTATCAACTGAATGAAAATTATTTATTTTAAAAGTGCAGTGGCATAAATAATATTCTTTTTACTATCTTGAGTGGTGGTTTTTTCCCTACGTGATTCTTACATAATCCAGTAATTTATAATGATGTCTTATCAACAAGGTATTTTTTTATATTGTATCGCAGAATTCTCATTTTATGTAAGTATAATATTATTCATCACTAATAAGAACTTTTTCTTTCTTTCTTTTTTTTTTTTTTGGTTGTTTTCTTTCTTTAAATACCCTATATCATGCATAAAATTCTCTTGAAACATATGGTGTTACCATAAGAACAATACTTAAAAGACTAATCTAATAAATCATTACCTTTTTAATTTTTACTTTTAATAAATTTAGAGTGGAGGGCTTTGTAATCTAGAAGAAGACACTTGGAGGATGCCAACCTACCAGGTCCGAATGTTTTATTTTAGTAACATATCAGATATATGTAACTTCACACTTTTAATGCTAAATATAATATAAACATATATATTGGAGACGGCTTAAAGTGTAATACTCTAACATGTGTGTGGGATATGCCTAAAATGATATCGTTTTAGGATAATTAAGAGGAAGACGCGTCATATGTCTCTTCAATTCGAGTACAGAATTAATTAGAGAAGGAAGAAATAGATAATAAAAAGAAAGGAAAAACAAAATAAAATGTGGAAGAAGAACAAAAGTACAGGATAATTTAATCTTTTTTTTTTTTTTTTTTTCTACGCAAACGTATGTATCACATTTTTTCTTTTTCCTAGATATATACATAACGGATGTGTCGTAGTGTATATATACATGATGGTGATAAAGGGAATTCTTGCTGATAAGCATTCTATGGCGAGACTTGTGCTCTCACTATTACTGTCGATGTCGGAAAGGAATATATATGGACAGATGATGACAGATATATACAATTACATATTTCACACACACACACACACACATATATATATATTCTCCGTTCCAAACTAAAAGCCTACATATCCCCTTTTGTTGTAACCACGTACGAGCATTGGATAAACTTGTTTAATCATAAAAATAAAAAATAAAAAATAAAAAAACACAAACTGACCAGAAAATGTAAAGGTGTCATAAATGTGTTTGAATGCGTATGTCTATATTCACACACACACGTATTTGTGCCTACCGGAAAAAAAAAAAAAAAAAGTAATCAAATGAAAAGGATTCAAGTAGTTTTCATGTACTGTTGCAAAAATAATAATAATAGATTTATATGCGGAATTCTTGTATTTAACATGACAACTATTTCGCCCTAACAAATTAATGACAAAAATACTCTTCAAGATCTATATGGTAAAACATGCTTCCAGGGCGGCCGATTGAGAGAATTAGTAGTACAGTTGTAGAGGGTATAAACGAAAAGATTATATTATTGCCCTACGTACTACTGCCGATCAAGACCGTTGTAGCATTTTGAAGCAACAACAAAATGCCACACAAGTGTTGGTCCAATTTCTCGTCTTTGGAAGCATATACTTACAGTTTGGCATTTACATATATTGAAATCATTAGGATTAACCCATCAATATATAATCTTTTCACCAATAGAATTCTAATGGATTATTATCGCTCGTGCCCCTAAACTTTAGAGTCATTCTCAGTTTACCCTCTGAATTTTAAAACTCTCACTTTACCTCATGAACTTTGAATTATTCCCACTTAACCCCTTTTATTGTAATTTTTGTTAAAAACTGATAGAAAAAAGTGAGTAATGCAATCGGGTGGTATTTCTGTTTGAATTTCTGTTAGAAACAAATATATAAGAACCACATGGCAAAACTTAATCTCCTTTTTTCCATATGATTTTAACAGAAATTACAACAAAAGGACTTAAGTGAGAACAATTCAAAATTCAATTACCAGAGTGAGTTTTTAAAGTTCAAAGGGGAATGGCCCTAAAGTTTAAGGGATACTAGTGATAATAATTCAATATTAATAATTAGTTTAGGATTCCCTTAAAAAAAATGAAACTGGAGTTACCAAAAAAGTGGCACAACTTACAGAAATTTTTTAGAAGTTCCTAATTCATGTGAAAGCCTGTTTTCAGGTCCAGTATTTCAAAAAGGTTTTACCAAACAATTTAACTTTTTACTGTGCAATATTCAGTGTTTTGTAATTTTCAAGGGCATAAAACCAATATTTCTATCACACAAC